ACATGTTATCATTCACATTGGGCATTGATAGTTTTCTTTGATCCAGTCTATTGGATATTTTTACACCAATGAAGAGATATTTTAAAAGATCATTCTGCTTGAAATGCTGTTTCAGGTGACTTCTAATTTGTATCTGTTTTTTTGCTTCCCCAAGTGTCTAAATGTTGAATAACCTACAGCGATATACATGTCAGTTAAGAATATGCCTGACATAGCTACTGTTTTATTCAGTATTCACAGCAGTAAGGTTCATGTGTGATGCCTTTCTGTGATCAGAAAATAGGGATGTGTTTAGACATACATGTATGCAAGTAGAAGTGGATATATTGGGTAATTACTCAAAGTGTTATCATACTGTTGCGTTTTTGAAATTTGTTATACATATTTGTACACAAGGGACTCAAAATTAATTGGGTAATGGAGATTTATTTTGTGTAGTTGACACAAATACTCAGCTTATCTGGAGGTGTGAAAGTGTGTCACATAAGCCAGGGCACTGTTCCACAAAGAGATCGTAGCACTCAGATGATTGTAACTCCCATACTTTAACATAGCCTTACGACACTCATAGCGCTATGATTGCTTTGTGGGACGGGGCCCAGAGCTCCAGAAAGCTCACATAGAGAAAACCATACACTCTCCACATGCTGATGTCTGGTAATCCTTGTCCAAGGACATAATAAAGGACATTGATGATGACAGAGGAAACCCCCAGAATGTCGGGAAGAGGATGAATACAACTCAAGTGCTGTCGCTTAATTCTCATTTGAATCAAACCCAGGCCTTGGTGGCTGCATCATTGTAGCCGTGAAGACCACTCCGCCCATTGGTTCATGCGAATTCAACATGCTTTGTGGCAAATCATGGAAACTGATGTGCATTTGTTGAATTGAAATGGAGCGAAAATGGAATGAATGCTGATTGTGTTTGTTGCTGGTGTAGCTGTGTGCAGTGTAGCCTTGCTCCAAGGCTGTACAGAATGATCCATGGATGTGTTGTAATTCTATCCTCCTAATAGGCAAGTCTAGATATGTTGACAGTCTAAGGACTCCAGTTTCTTTTAGGGACAACTTGTTCATATTATTTTTCTAATCAAGAAATTATGATTTGAATTAATAATTAGGCAATAATAATTAGGCAATAGAGACTTGTGCAAGTCTATGTGCAGTGGGGCGTGACGACACACATGGCACGGGCTGGATTGTGCGGGGTGTTGCTGTCAGGGTGGTGGAGTATGTTACTGTCAGCCCTGTGTTGCATCAGCACGAGGCATCCCAGACAAAGGGTATATATAGTTTACTCGTAGTGACTCCGGTTTCATGCTTGTGAAATTTGAGGCTTGAGTTGAAGTGGTGGGGAACTGCATGTCAGTGTGGTTGTATAGGGAGGTTGTGAGGAGCTGCAACTACTACCGGTACACATTGTGTCAGTCCCGAATGTAATTAAACATTTACTGTACTGTTGTAAGTTGGTAAGTATGGGGTAAAATATTGATCAGGTTTCTCATTCTTAGCTCTCCTGATTTGAAACTTACAGAATATTTGTTATAGAAGGTTGTGTTCTCTTACACCAGAATATACCGACATATGGTCTCTGCTTACACTTTAACAGGGGTCTATACTTCGAGTTTGAGCACATTTTCTGTTTAAATCTACATGTTGTAATAAGTGCCATGTGTTAAGACATTGTCGAATGGGACTAGGGTGACTGTAAACTGCCGTATTGATATTCATCGTAAATGTTGATTTAGTAGACAAAGGTGTGTTGGAACGACACGAAGCAACCTTGGGCTGCCAACTGACTCCCTTTATAGTTCCATCATTATGTGAGGAACAGACTTGATATTGATCTCAGTAAGCAAAATACTAAACTAGTTCCCATATTGAAGAATCAGCTAGTGAAAGGAAGATCTACTTTGAGCTATAAAAGTAACCCATAATGCAAGGAGCGCATGAATGTGATAGGTGATTAAGGTGACACTTGGACAGCTTCAACTGAACCCATGGGCACGAATAGCATCAGATGAGGCCATTTACAGAAGAAGAAAAGCAAGCACCCAAATAACTGAGAGTACTCCAGAACTGCAACAGATAACTTGCAGTGTTTAAGTGGGAAAACACATGATGATTACCAAGGAAGTGGAGGCAATTGTTTTTGTATTTCCTCAAGCTGAGTTATTCCTTGCAGCCAGATGGAAGATGATATGTCTTGTGTATAAGGCACAGATGTGCAGGTAAGACATAGTTTGGTGGAGTTAAGGGAGCGAGGTGAGCTGCCTGGGACAGTCTTGGAAAGTCAGATTGCCGTCTGCTGTCTTGATGCAGATGTCTGTGGACAAGGAGGAGGGACAACACGAAATGTTTTGCTGCAGGATGGGCAATGTATCGCCTACTGAAGGTATTTGGGTGTTGTAGATTTGGGAACTGGAGGCGGTTAATTTGTTTTGATGATGTGGTTTGATTATCTTTTTTGTCAGAATTTGCTCAGTCCGATGTTTTCCACTGGTCACCTGTTGGGTCACCTGTCCATGAGGGTAGGCACTAGTCTGAACCATTGGTCGATCTGTTTGCAGCTCACTTTGGACTTGTGGTTCATTGGGAAAAACCAATAGTCTCTCTCAATTTTCACTAGCCTCGGACTAACAGACCAGTGGTCATGTCTATGCTTGTCCATGAGATGGTAAATAGTAGGAGGATGTTTAATATTTCACGCGAATCCCAAATACAGGAATCAATGTCAGCATTCTTGGACAGCTGTAATACAACAGTTGAATATACTCGTCATTGAGTTGTGTATAACCTGGTTGAGAATTTGTGTCTGTAGTCTTTTGCATCAGAAGACACTACCGGTTTTAGGTGTTGCCATTTGTGTAAAGTGTACAAATATGGCCACTACTGCGTCAAGTCTGTACACCTGTACAGTGTCAGATGACGGTGTTCCGAGTCTTCGTGTCCATGGGATTCATGATAAAATTTGCAAACTTTGATGTCAAGTTTTTGAGAGCAAAACACCTGTAATGAATTAGGAATGAGAATGAATCATGTCACCTGCTAAGCAGTCAAGTTCCTGGAGTACGAGAATGTAACTGTGCAGAGACGTAACAGCCACATGGCAGTTTGGTGGAGTGAGTGAGTGAATGAGCCTGATGGAGGATGACGTTATTGCACCAAGCCAGCAGAGTTCAGCCATTCTACAGACAAGAGCCTCTTTAAATTTGCCATAGAAAAAACAACATGACATTAATTAGTTTTCACTTTCCACTGCAGGTTAAAATTGCTTGTCAAAGTTGCTGCATTCATTTAAGATATTGCCTTCCATTCACTGTCTGTTTTCTTTATGTTCCTGTTTCTCTTAAGTGTTCTTCCAAATGCTTTTTCATAGCAGATTTTTGCATTTCATTTGTGAAGTTCTATCCTAGTTTTATCTTGTGAGGTTGTATAAGATGTTTTATAACCCAGCAATGCAGTGGAGTTGAATTAATCCTTAAAATATGGCTTCCTGAAGCTCTTGAAAACATGTTGGCAAGGCGCCATGGCCATTAATTTCTCTTGCTTATGAGGAATGTTTGTTTTGAAAGTCAAGATTCACCATACATTTTGCATCATGGAAGATTGTCTTTTGGGTTTAAATGAGAATACAAGAGTTGAGTTCAGCAAATGTGAAAAAATCTCACAGGATCCAGTTACACAGTAATGTTAGGTTGTATACGCAGAAATTACCATTTTCAATATTGGCGCTGTATAATATTTCAGTATCCACCTGGTGCAGCCTGGCATGAAAACTAGGCTGCAATGTAGAATTTATTCTAAAGCCCCCTTTGAACCCAGATGTATGACATGGCTTTGACACACCAGCCATATCTTCTTATCCGTTGGTCACCAGGCTTAAACACAAATCCAAGTGAGTTAGTGAGTGTATGGTTTTACGCCGCTTTTAGCAATATTCCAGCAATATCATGGCGGGGGACACCAGAAATGGGCTTCACACGGTGTACCCATGTCGGGAATCGAACCCGGGTCTTTGGCGTGACAAGCGAACACTTTAACCACTAGGCTACCCGACAGGCCCAAACACAAATCCAAAATATGGTGGAATATGGTCACAAATTAATACCCAAGACAAAAATATATTGTTCCAGTTTATGGTGAGAGATCCAATAACATGAATGAGTGACTCTCTAAATGTCACGAAAGGGGAGCAGGGAAGTCATTTGCTAGGCAATGTCTAGATCTTTAGACTCTGGGGTTGTTCCTTTTGTCTCCGGGCTACCACCAGGATACTGCTTTCCTTCAACTCCTGCTCAACCTCAGGGGTGTCAGTACCATCACCAGTTGAAGAAAAAGTCAAACTTGAAAATGGGGATGCTCATCAAACAGGACGAGAATTCATTTTTTCACCTGAACCAACATTGCTTTCATGAGTGTGATTAATGTGATAGGAGACTGGAATATTTTTTGGCAATCATTGGTTTGTGGAGGAGCTCTTTAGACAACGTGTACAGGATTGGGGTTTTCACTAATGAGTGCAAGATTCTGTTTTCTGATTACATGTAATTTGTGCAGATCAAATTCTCTTATGTTGACATGTAATGTGATTTCAGAACACCATGTATTAGTTATCTATTATGATTATGAATGTAAACTATTTCATAGATGCAACATGTGGATTTAATAATTACTTTTTAACAAATAATCATATTTTGGATGTAAATGCCTTAAGATATCATGTGAAAATTGTGCAAATCAAGAACTATTTCCAATCAGAATAATGTGTCTAACGTGTGGAATGACTTGGTATAGGTGATAGGACTATTTACTTTTCTCCTGAGCTCCCAGTATTTCTACCTCCATGACAGGAGATTCTCTACCTCCACCACAGGAGAGTCGGAGGCATCGCACACATGTGCTAGTACTGCATCGTGCCTCACTTGTATGCACACCCAGTAATGGGCTCTTGCGACTGAGGCTCGTAACTCATTATGCATATTTTTTGTGTTCCAGAATTAGAAACTGTGAAGAAATGCACGCCCCTGTACGGACAGCCTGATTGGTGGGGAGAGGAGGAAGGGACAGATTCGTACCCATCAAAGCCGGGGTCCAAGAGAAGTTCAGTCCATGGGGATACAGGTAGGTCAGCTCCCGGCTTTTAGTTTTGGTTTCCTAGAATTTAATTTTTGTCAGGTCATGAATTGTCATGAAGTATCTTTGCTATTGTGAGATCTCTTGCTGTTCATAGGATTCACACAAAGTTTTTAAATTATTTCATTAAAATATTTCATTCTTATTTTCATCTGTTAGCATTATTTTGTGTCATGCACCTTTTAATGTATATGTACAAAGTGGTTGATTGAAGGCATTGAATATGTCAGTAACTTATGTAGAGGAAAACCCAATTCAAGACATCTTTTGGATGTTATAGGATCTCTTTTTGTTTTCAATAGGATTCACACAAGTCATAAAATCATTGAACAACGCTTTCTAAAATTCCACAAAAAGCATTCAGTTGCAGCACTGCTGAATGAACACGTACAAAGTGGTTGATTTAAAGCAGTGAATATGTCAGTAGTTATGCTACTCAAAAGAAGTTAAGGAACACCCAATTCTTTCATGTTACTATGTTGATCTTTCTTGTGAGTAGTATATGTAGCTGAAAACACTATTAAGACATTCATGGCATTGGTCTGATATAAAAGCGTTATGTACTTTATCATCCAATATGTAAACGTTTTTCAGTGTTCCCCTCATGCTCTCTGCAACAGCATAAATCTCACCAATGTCACACAGTGTGTGTGTATAAGATTATATCTCACAAGAAGCTTGATGGAAGCAGTACGGCCAAGCATGTTGAACACTGTAGCCAGTGTAGGGGGATATAATCTAGTATATAATCTGAATGCAGTGGTGTTTGGGTAACCTTCTCTCTCGGGGATCTGTTTGCCGTCATCTGTTATTAGCCATTTCACAACTGATTGCATCTTCCAGCGATTGCCCACCTCTCATGGTGTTGGCCTAGGGATCAGTGAAGGCTTTGTCAGCCGCTCACCTGGATGTGGTGGTTAGGTAGGGAACTTAATTAGCCTTGCTCCAGGGCTGTACTCAAGGAAAGTCCATGGATGTGTTGTAATTCTATCCTCCTTATAGGCAAGTCTAGATTCGTGACAGTCTAAGGACTCCAGTCTCTTATAGGGACAACTTGTTCTTATTATTTACATAATCTAGAAATTATGATTTGAACTAATAATCATTACCTTAGAGACTTGTGCAAGTCTATAGGCAACTCTCTGTGATGGTAAATGATGGAATCTTCTGGGTTCGACCTGATGAGGCTAGCGTGAATGTGACCACTTCATAGTTGCCACACTTAATTACTGCCGTGTACTGAAATCCAAGTGATGGTTGAGGCAGTGATATATGGGGTGATAGTTGTCAGGGGATCAGCCTGAGGAGGCTAGAGTGACCACTTCACAGTTGCCACACTTGAAACCCAAGCAATGGTTGTTGTAGTGATATATGGCATGGTAGTTATCAAGGGACGATGGCTGCTGATGTTGTGTGAAATGTGATGGAGGAGTTGATGATGCATTATTATACTTATTACAAACTGTATACCTTAGGAAAACATAACATTGTGACTGACAGGTGCACTGTCAGAGAGAAGCTAGGTTTTAGCACATTGGTTTGATGTTAACACTCTAAATAATCTGCGCATGTGTGTGTCAGTTATTTTTGCAAGCAGGGTATATTGTGTATGACCAGTGTTAACGTTACAGGGACCTAAGTGTGAGTCTCTGGAGTACTTACTTGTGCAGGTACAAGTTCCATACATGTAGTGTAGTCGTTTGTTTATTCAATGATGCACTCAGCAATATTCCAGCTGTATGACGGCGGTCAGTAAGTAATCATGACTGGACCAGACAATCCAGTGATTGACATCATGAACATTGATCTATGCAATTGGTATACGACGACATGCATCACCAAGTCAGCGAGTCTGACCACCCGATCCCGTTAGTCTAGTTAAAGAAAATATCAAATGATCAATTGTAATTAATAAGTTTAAATGTAATGGATGAACCGAGGTTTATATAAGTATCATTGCAATGTATTCACCATGGCATAAGCACTGATATCTGTTTGCTATGGGGTGAATACATAAACACAATTAAAGGCATCACATTTCATATTTGTTTCATATTCCCTGTGCACTTACAGTAACTAAAATTAATGTAAATAAATTTGGCTTTGAGAATTTCCCTTTGCTTGATTTGGCAGTGTTTTGACACAATTAGACTAACATTTAGTGAAATCTTATATTACACAATATCCTCCTTGACTCTTAAAAAAATATCTCCCTATGCTGATTTCATGGAATAGAGCTAGCTAGAGCTGGCTAGACTTGCTTTTCTAGATTTTCTAGATTTTATTTTTTTTCATAAAATAAATATATTCCACAGTCATGGTGCAGGACTATGCCACAATGTTTGAAGTAGTTTCCTGGATAAATTGTGAATCCATTCCACCAATTCCTAGGTTCACTTCTCCATGTGTTTGTTGTGTGTGAATCATATGGTTGGTCTCCCCATTATCATACTGATGCAATATTGCTAGCATCAGTACCCACTCACTCACTGGCTTCCTGATTCCTGGCCCCAGCACATCTGGGATGCATGCTGTGTCCAGTGATGATATAACCCCAGCAGCCGTACCCTCCTGGCCCCTAGGGATGCTGATGATGGAAGTCTAGTGTTAATTGGTGTTTGATGATAGGGCCAAGAAAGAAGGGTCAGTTTGTCTGGGCTGATGTAGGGCAGGGTGATGCTCTGTGGCTCTGTAAGAGCAGGAACCTTTGTCTAGACAATGCTGACATCTTGAGCAGTTAGGCCTGGAATCTGTGTGTGGAGCTGACACTTGATGCACATGATGTCTTCAGTTGTTGCTGGTGGGGCATGTGTAATGTGGAGCTGACACTTGATGCACATGATGTCTTTAGTTGTTGCTGGTGGGGCATGTGTAATGTGAAGCTGACACTTGATGCACATGGTGTCTTTAGTTGTTGCTGGTCGGGCATGTGTAATGTGGAGCTGACACTTGATGCACATGGTGTCTTTAGTTGTTGCTGGTGAGGCCTGTTTGATGTGGAAGCACAAGTTGCAAATGGATACCCATGTTCTGTTGGATTTACTGCTTCATGAAGTGATTTTGTAAGTATATCTCATTGTCCTGAGCTTAGTGCTACTTAAACATTAATAAGTCAATAAAAATATTCACATTTATAGAGTATGGCTATTGGAACCCCTATTATGGCTGGGGTCATTGTCGGCACAGGTACTACAGAAATGTACCCTAGCCAAAATCAAAATACAGAAGCGTACCCTAGGATGAGTCCATTCCGCAGCAGGGTGAAATGCATGTAACTGTTTTTCTAGGTATTTGTTATTTCCTGTATGCCAAACCAAAGTTAAATTCAACATGGCAGTACGCATTCGTCAGGAGTAAACTTTTGGATTATGTTCTTAAGTTGAATGCCTTTGACAAGGCTGTAATGGTAAGCAAGGGTAGGGAGCTTTAGGCAAAAGATCGTGTAGAAGTAGGACGCATGCACTTGTAATCAGGCGAACCGGAACTACAACATGGTTTCTGGTTGGGGAATATGGACTCGCCCGCTGTTTAGGGTACCAGGTACCTTTCTGTATTCTAATTTTATCTCGGTACATTTCTGTATACAGAAACTTACCTGGGGTACATTTCTTTAGTACTTATGCCGACAATGGCCCCTTCTTCCCTATTATGGGATAAAAGTAGATGACTATTGGCGTTATGGGCCTGATGGTCATTCCTGAAATCGATCATAGCGCTACTACTGTCGTAAGTCTATGTTATAGTGTGGGAGTTACGGTCATCTTAGTGCTAAGATCGCTTTGTGGAACAGAGCCCTGATCATATAAGGAAGAACATGTTGACCCAGTAAGGTCCACAAGTCAATAAAAATAGTCACATTTATAGACTATGGATATGAGAACCTCTATCATAGGATTAAGGTAGATGAGTATTGCCTCTATTGGCGTTATTGTGTGATCATATGAGGAAGGATATGTTGACCCAATATGATGATCACATTCATGAATAGCGACATGGTCAGACTGAAAAGGTTAGTTGGTAATAAGTGCTCGGTTCATGAATGCATGAGGACTTCCTATTGGTTGCTGGGAGGTTGTATATGCAATATATTAGGTTACTGGTACAATGGCTCTTGTTCATACTTATTTTGTGGCCAATATCTCCCTCAGTGTGATCTGGGTCATAAGTCAACAGTGTGTACTTGTATCCATTGTCACTTGTTGCTCTGTCATTGTGTGAAGAAGGACAGTGGTTCACCAGATGAAGGAGTAAGCATATACTCCGAAACGTTGGGTTCCTCATAATATGGAAGTTGACATCCATAAATTCTCTCTTATGTGTATCACTTCTAAATGCCATTCAAAGACAGGAGAGTGGTTGATGTTAAACTTGTGTACTGGGTTCACTTAAGCCTTGCTCCAAGGCTGTACTGAAAGAAAAGTCCATGGATGTATTGTCATTCTATCCTCCTTATAGGCAAGTCTAGATATGTGGACAGTAGAGTATCTAAGGACTCAAGTCTCTTATAGGGACAACTTGTTCTAATTATTTACATAATCTAGAAATTATGATTTAAACTAATAATTTTTGCCCTAGAGACTTGTGCAAGTCTAGGTTCACTTCTCCACAGGTACATTTTGTGAAGCTGTAAAACTGCTGTGTTAGCTAAAGACCACTAAACCATGCTTACTCATCTCAACATCTGTTCAAAGAGACCTTTCTATACTAAGACACTTTGACACCACATACTCTATTTTTACTTTTTTAAATATTTTGAAAATGTTCACAAAAATCAAATGAAGTTTATCTGGGTATTTAGGCATGAGGAGGTTGTCTTCCACAATTGCCAATATCCAATTTATCAAGACAAAGGGACACCTGAAATGGGCTTGAAATAGTGTTAGGAATTGAACCCAGGCCTTTATCATGACGAGCAAATGTTTCAACAACTAGACTACCCCACCACACCTTCAGGTAGAGAGACTGGGGTTTTGAAACTGAAAGTGAAT